CAAAAAAGAACCCACTCTACTCACACTTATAGATTGACAAAACAAAACAGTAAGGTTACATTTTAAAACTAGCCACTTAGCTGCTCCCCTGCTGTGGGCTCCCCCACACAGGTTTCTCCAAGGTCAACTGTGAACGTCATTGTTTATTTGTCTTCGACGAACTCCGACGTCCACAGATACTTGAAACTAAACAGCAGAGGCAGTCAGCTGTACAGCTTCACTGCTGGGTCAGACAGTTATACAAATTTACTTCTGTTTATTTCACTTCTCTCCAGCATCAGCAGTTCTTTGTAATATTACACAATTTCTATTCTCTATCTTCTTCACAATAGAGCTCAACATTCCAATGGCTTCCCAACTATCTGGTGAACCTGCATGCTGACTTCTTTAATTTCACATACAAGATCCTTCTGCACTGCAGCATTCCACGGTCTCCATCCATTTAAACAATACTCAGTTTTCTTATTCTTCATTCCAAAGGAGACAACATTTTTTTAAAATCCGCATTACACACCAAAGTTTTGCTCACCAAATTAGCCTATCTATATCCCTTACAGAATCTAAACTTGTTCTTAACTCGTTGAGGTTGGTTGGCTCGCCGAGCTGGTTTGTTGTTCCGCAGACGTTTCGTTACCGTGCTTGGTAACATCCTCAGTGCAGCCTCTGATGAAGCGTTGGTGTGTTTTCCCACCTGGCTTTTAAACTCTGGGGTCCATTGCGATAGATTGCCTCACTTCTGGGTTTCCTCCGTAGCGGAATGTATATGGGGTCGAGTTCAATGTGTTTATTAATAGCCTGCTTCGTGGAGTGCCATGCTTCCAGGAATTCTCGTGCTTGTCTCTGCCTAGCCTGTCCCAGGATCTTGGAAGATCCTGGGACAGGCTAGACAGAGACAAGCACGAGAATTCCTGGAATCCTGGAACCCACAACCCAAGCTACAAATCTACTCCAAAACCTTGTTCTTAACTCGTTGTTTCATCAACTGTTAATTGCTAGCAAGCTTAGCTAATATACATCCTTCACTAAATTCTAATTTACTAATCTGAGTGACTTATTCAGAATGCGCTTTTCATTTGTTAGCCAATTCTCTACCTTTGCTCATATTATTCCCATCACCAAGGACTTCTACCTTATGTCATAACCTTAATGGGTCACCATCATGAGTTTCTTTTGAAAATTCAAATATCACTACATCTACTGGTTCCCATTTATCCAATGTCTGTTACATTCAGAAAGAACTTTAATAAATTTGTGAAGCATGATTTCATAATATCCACTGACTCGCACTGAATGTGTTATAGCATTCTAAAGCCCTTAATTTAAATTATACATTTCCTTATTAACAGATTCCAACATTTTCCCAAATTACAGATGTTGGGCTAATTGGCCACTGCATTCTGACCCACTCCTTTCTTGAACAGAGACGTTATACTTCCTTTTTCTTTTAGTGTGTCGGGATATTTCACGCATCTAGGTAATTTTAGAAGACTGCAGTGAATGCATCCACTACCGCCACAGATTTTTGTTTAAGGCCCCATAATCGAGATTAAACAGATTAGCATCATTTTAAGTCAGCACAGGAACAATGGGCAAATGCCATAAAGTTTTTGATGCAGCTAAAGGCCATGTTCGCCAATTGCCAGGAAGAAGCGCATGTTTTCAAGGAATCTAGTCAGGGGCCTCATCTATTTATCTACAGCGACTATAGAAACATATAATATACGTATGGACCTCACCATATTTTCCAAGATTCAGTTGAAATCAACTAATTCTGCTTTGATTCTGCCAATTTCATAATCCACTTCAAATTTACCTGTTTTTTTGTGTCGTGTTGCCTGCAAATTTGCATTGACATTCTGAATGCAAATCATTGACATAAACGGGAAATAGTATATATTTCAACATTGATCTGCAAGGCAGCTCTCATGGTACATTTCCCTCTTCTGAAATAAATTTTGCCGTTTTCTACGCTTCACGAAATTGAATATAGCTACTAATTATTTGTGCATGACTTCGTTAATTTTTTACACAATTTGATACGCACAACATATCTTGAGATTTTCCACTACCCATTTGGGATGTAACCTCTTCAGAAATCAATCATTCAGGTAGGAATTTCCTTTACTGCTACCATGTCTATTGATTTTACTGGAATAGTATTTGGTGATCAAAATCCCAGAATTCTCCTCCTATCAGATTTGTGGGTGTACCGACACCCCACAGACTGTAGCAGTTCAAGGAGGCAGCTTCGCACCATTTTCTCAAGGGCAGTTAGGAAAGGACAATAAATTGCTGACATAGCCAGATCCCACTAACAAGAATGGAAAAAACTGCATGAATCAATTTTCTGTTTTATAAAAATAAAGTACTATATTGGCCAGTTTGCAGCAAATCATGGTTTCCTATTGTTCAATGAATTGCAAGTTTCCTCTTCAACTTCTCAGTACTTGAATTATCACTGCTTAAAATTGATAGAATTGTTCTAATTCATGCTGTGTTCAGTTTATTTAGAAATCTGATCAGCAAAATCTTGAACTCAAGCTTTTAGAATTTTCTCCAAGGATCTTTGTGGATGTAAAGACCACAAATGTGCCAGTTTTGCTTTTGAAGTAATGGGGTGTCTCATTTTTTGAAGATTTTTATTTCAGACACCTTTTAAATGAATGTTCCTTCCATTATCTTCTACTTCACTGTTCTTACAACTCCAATTTACCCATTACAACACCTGTCTACATCATTTACTGCCACACTTGGTCACATCCTGCAATTATCATCCAACTTTGTGGTTAACTGTTATTGGAAAAAAATCCAGATAGTGTATAAGCTTATACACAAAGTTATTAGCTGTTTGCAGAGTAAGCAAGAACTTGCACTTAACTACCAATATAGTATTTTTTTAATATGTTTAATGTTAGTAGATTGCTATTACTGTTTTACTTTTATATTTAAAAGAAAATAGTGGTAGCCTTTTTGTAGCCCACTTTATCATAACTTCAAACCTTGCTTTATTATTGTGTATTAAAAGCAATGAATAGTATGATTTTTAAAATTCCCCTTAACGAGATTAACTGGAAAACTTTCCAATAATAGGGATCAACAGAAATGAAATAAAAAGGTATCTTTATCATATTTCACCGTTGCCATAACTTGTGCTCCATTTTATTATAATTGCATTTTGTTTTAACTGGGCTTTGGTGTCAGAGGGCTTTATTAAATGGTTACTTTAGCTCTTTGTGATTTGTACTCCAATAATTGATGTAGATATTTGTCTAAAATTTGCTCATTAATTGATTTGAAATGAAATAAGGAAAAAAAATGTATGAAGCCTACTCTACTGAGAAGTTAATGGTTAGGTGATTATGGTCGGAAAGGTTAGTGATTTTAATGTGTTTCTGAAGGAATGTGTTGTAACAGTAATGGACTGAAAGGTCAGAGTATGTCTGAAAGGTCAGAGTATGTCTGAAAGGTCAGAGTATGTCTGAAAGGTCAGAGTATGTCTGAAAGGTCAGAGTATGTCTGAAAGGTCAGAGTCCTGTTAAAGCAGGCACAGCAAATTAGATGTGTAATAATGTGATTAACTACAGTTAAACAGAGTGTTTGATTTTAGAAAAGTGCTGTGTAAATATCATTTGGTTGACTGGATGACATAGTGGCAACAGCCTGAGCAAGCTGAGCCCGAGGTCAAAGTTTAATCAAAACCAAGAGACGAACTCTTCCCAGGGAAAACAAGCAAGTCCTAATGAGGAACTATGATGGATGACACATTTGTGATATTTATCAGTGATCAAATTGCTGTGTCATAGTGGGAGTACACACCGTTTTGCTTAGACGGATAAAAAAAAAGGACAAGAAAGCTTGCCTCAAAGCGATAGTTAGCTAGCTCAGGACAGAGTCATCTGATCAGTAACTGGAAATGGAGACGAAGTGGGCTGATCACTTGTTTTGATCTGTTCCTTAAGGTCTACATAAATACTTGTGATTGTAACCATTGCATGGGTAAGACTTTTGTAGTATTTTATAGTGTACTTCATTAAAGACATTGGGTAAATTTTGTTGTTAATGGCTTGGGTTATTGATATCCAGATCCAACCCAACAGACCAGGGAAAGTAGGAATAAATGCTTGAACTCGTCACCATCTTTAATATATCTTAAACAGGGACTAAATAGAAGGATGCCGCACTGATTACTTAAAATGTAGTGCCTCTTCTCCTCCACTAATCTCATTAGCCCTCCTCCATGCCCCACGCCAACCAGGTTACTGATCTCTCTGCCAACAGAAATAAGTCCATCCCATTCACTCTATGAAGCCTCCCATGATTTTCAAACCTCAACAAATCACCCATCATCCTCTTCTGTTCCAAAGAAAACAGACCACGCTATCCAGCAGCTAAAATTCCTCATTCCTGAAAATTCCTGGAAAAGCTCTTTTGTACCCACCTCTAATGTAATATAGCTTTCCTTTAACACAGTAACCAGAACTTCAACTACTTACTGACTCAGGTCACAAGGTTATGTTCAATTCTGTACACTCTCATTTTTGACAACAATCAATCAGTAGCACTCTCACAAATAATGCCACGTTAACAAATCTCTGATTACCTTGTTTCTTCCTCCCTCATTAAATGATGCACATCTTGTAAATAGACCAAGTTACAAAATATAATAATCACATCTGTGTAAAAGCACATTTTAAGTGAACATGGATAATCCACGAAATATACAAGTTAAGGCAACATTTGTGGAGAGAAGTAAATCTAACGTTTCAGATGCTAGACCTTCTCATGATGGAAAGTCATCAACTTGAAGCATGAACTTGAATTCTCTCTGCACGGATGTTTATTGGATGATGAATATTCCCAGCATCTGCATTTTGTAAATCACACTTTAGTCAATCTTTACAGTGCTCAAATTGAAAGCAAATCCTCATATTGTCTGTGCTACCAAAAGCAAAAGATAACATGTAATGCAGACAACAGACATTTCACACCAAGATACCTACCAAAAATATTGGTGGTATGTCCCTTCCTGGAGAGTGGTTTTAACTCATTGTGTCCCCATGCATACTGTCTGTAGTTGTCCCAAGCATGCTTCATCATCTGCAAAAGGGAAAGAAAAGTCTTCAGCTAATTTAACAAGCTTTCAGCAATCAAAATGAAGAACACCTAAAAAGTCACTCCAACTATACAGGGCATTGGTGAAAACAGACACTGCTATGTAGAGTATTGGTCTCCTTATTCAAGGAGGGAAATAGTTTCAATGAAAGAATTTCAGAGAAGGTTCACTAACCTGATTCCTGGGGGAAAGACTGTGGCATAATGATAACACTACTGGACTAGCAATTCAGAAGCCCAGGCTAATGCTCTGGTGACACAGGTTTAAAAATTTATATTTTTAATTTATTTTCAATAAATCTGGAATTGAAAGCTAATCTCATCAAATGGTGACTATGAAACTATCAACTGTTATAAAAATTCACATGGTTCACTAATACCCTTTAGCAAAGGAAATATATCATGCTTATCAGGTCTGACCTACAACGACTCCAGATCGATAGTAATGTGGCTGACTCCTAATCACCTTCTTTAAAATGGGTTTGCTCTGTTCATGGGTAATTAGGGGCATGGAGCAAACGCTAGCCTTGTCAGTAGTACACTCATCCCATGAAAGAATAATGAAACAAAAATTAAGAGATTGTCTTTGATGAAATGTTGAATTAGTTGGGCTATACACACTGGAATTCAGAACAACGAGAGGTGATTTTATTGAAACATACAAGACTCTGAGAGGGGGCTTAATATAGTAGATGCTAGGGGATGCTTACCCTCATGGGGATATCTAAAATCATGGGTAGTGTTTGAAATAAGCAGTGTCCCATTTTTCCTCCTTACAAGAGGTTCACTAGTCTTTGGAATTCTCTTCCATGAGAATAAGGAAGATCAGTTCACTATTGAATTTAAGGACGAGTTAGACAGATTATTGACCTAAAATGCAGGGGTAAGTAGGGAGGTGGAGTCAAGATAAAAAACAGATTTGTCATAATCTCAGGGAATGGCCTACCCCTGCTCCTATTTCTTATAATCTCATAATGACATAGCACAATGATTTGCCCAAAAGCTCAGTTTCACAGACACACAATACTGTGTGCGAATTAAAGACCATACTTTTAATTATACATGCAATTAGGCATATATGCTTATCAGTCAGTCATCCATCTAACATCTACAGCAATGTAACCTACTTAGGAGCTGTCATTTAAAAATAAATCAGTTGTCTATTGGTCCCATTCCAGTATATCTACAGCCATAGTGCAAACACATGGTGCCCTTGGAGAATCTGGAGTGGGAATTTTATGCAAAGAAATGTGTTTAATGTTCCTTATTGCAGAAGTACTTCAAACTAGAAACTAAACTATTACTTTATTAATTTATTCTGTTTAATTAGCTCTAAAATCTAAAAGTAAACCCAAGTTAATTACAAAAACTTTTAATTAACTAAATATAAAACAAGGACGTTTTAGAGAGATCAGATTACAGCCTGCAGACATGCAGCAACTGCAATGTATGGGAGCTTGAGCATTCCTAGGCTGCATTTTCAGAAAGCACTTGCAACTCAAGAAATATTGACTCAAAGTTGTTGAGGTGGAATCTAAGCTGCAGGCATCACCGTGCATTAAGGAGAGGAGTTAGGTGGAAGCAGTGATATTCCTCAGGTTAGATCATGGCTTACATTCAGCAAGCGGTCAGGTCTGAGTGAACCTGGCCGTGATTCACAAAAGGAAAGGGGACCTGCAACAAAGTTGAGTCTCAACATTTGCAACTTGCTCAGAGATATTTGGCATTTGCTACTGGTGTGATTGATAATAGAAATTGGAGGGAGGAAGAACATATTGACCACAGCTGGCATAATGTATTTCCAAGTCAGGATAAATGGTAAACCCCTTGGAAGTAAACCCTTTGAAAGTGGCAGCGTTCTAGTATAACTGATGCCCCCACCTTTCTTAGCAATACAGGTCACAGGTTTGAAAGGTAGTCTGTCCAAATTGCGGTGAGTTACCGCAGCATACAAAGTGCTGATTGGTAAAGCTGCTTTGTCTTAGTGTTGAACATCTTCAAGCCTGATAGACTACATCAATCCAAAGTATTCTTGGCATGTACCTTGTAGGTGTTGGAAGTCTTTGGAGAATCACAAATGATCCACTTCCCACAGAATACCCAGTCTTTGATCTGCTGCCACATTGTTTACATGCATGGTCCCATTGAGTTTCTGGTCAGTCGGTCAATGGTAATTCCAAGGACCTTTGTGGTGCAGATTTTAACAATAACAAAGGCCAGTCAATGTCAGGGAGACATGGTTAAACGCCCCTTTGTCAGATTTAGCCACTGCTTAGCACTTACTCAGCAAGTAAGATCATGAATGATGTCTCAGTCTTACTGCACTTGAATACAGGATGTTTCAGTATCTGAGAAAGTGCAAATGCAACTCAACATTTGCAACTGTCAGCAAATATCCCGACTTTAATGTTAGGATGAGGGGAGATTATTAAAGAAACAATTTAAGATGGTTGAGCTTTAGACGCAAGCCTTGATTTACCCTGTAGCAATCTACTTAGATTGAGATGCTTAGTCTCCACAACCACAACCATCTTCTTTTGCATTAAGCATAACTCCAGTCAGGAGATTGATTATTTTTGATGCCCTTTGACTTGACCTTTGCCAAGGTTCCTTGACGTCATACTTGATGTTGTGTGAATTCCTAATCTATATCTTTGTTTACTTCCTTTATTAAAATGACTGGAATTGGATAATGCTGCACTAAACAGTGCAATAGCAAGCATTAATAAATTTAGCTTCACAGTCCTCCAATACCATAGAGAATGATTCAGAATTTAATGCCAGCTTTAGTTCAACAGAACTCAGCCATCCAACCAAATCAAATGTTACACTTGACTTGAATGGCAGGTGCCAAACACAAGCAGTGCCAAAGTCTTATTCTTCAGAATCGAATCGAATGCAGTAGCAACAGATTAACATTGCTAGCTGGGCAAATTGAGTCTCCTTTACCCTTCACCTGCAAACTTCTTTTTCAAACTAAAATTTTAATCATCACATTTCGTCTTGAAGGAATGGGAGGGGGTACAAAGTAATTAAGCATACATTTTGTCAGCTCCAATATATGTGATATCTGTACACATAACATTGATAACAATATTTACTATTTGATGACCATGATATCTACATTGTATAAGACTAAAATATAAAAATTAAAGCAAATAGCTGCCTGCTGCACATTGTTAAAATTTGACCAAGAGATTTTAGAATCCTGAATTCTAACAATATTGAACCTTGTTAAAAATAATACTTGAAGTTTAATTATTTTCAAATACTGCAAAAATCTATTCACATTACTGTGTGGGCTTCATATTGTAAATAGTATTTAAATTAAATTGAAGTTATTAAAGATGCTCAATTCATTTAAAAACTACTCATTTAATTTTCAGGATGTGTGGGGAATACTTAAGGGAAATACCCACAAGAAAACTCTCACCATGTTTTATAAATACAACATCTGGCAACAGTCTTGTCCAGGTTAGAAAAAAATTCTTGGTTGTATGAGCTCCCTCTCCCTGGTCTTCAGATAATGACCATTATCACACCGTACAACAGTGTCTACAATCTACAAAACAGTTATTATAACTAAACTAAACCAAACAATAGCAAACAAGAATCAAAGAATATGTAGGTGTTTTCCCTTTGAAGGGCACCATACCATTTGAATCTCGACATTTACAGCAACTTGCACTGGAAGTGGTCACAGAAATTAAGAAAAGTTAGTCACCAGCTACAGTAAATTCTGTCCCAATTTATTTTAGTGATGTTGGTTGAGGGATAAATATTGGCTAGGACACTGAACAGAACTTCTCTGCTGTTTAAATAATATCATGAAATGTTTTATGTACAATTGAGGGAGGAAAGGGGACCATGGTTTAACATCTCCATCGTTAAGAAGACACCAAGAAACTAGCACTTCAATACTGCAATAAAAGTAAAATACTGGATTCTGAAGAGCCACACTGGGCTAGCAATTTTAACTTTCGCTCTCCACAGTTGCTGCCAGACTGAGTTTCTCCAGTACTTTCTCTTGTTATTTTGGTATTCCCTCAGAACTGCATGAGGTTATGCCTACTATTTGGCTCAAGTCTCTGAGGCAGGATGGAAACTCATAACATTCTGACATGAAGGTGACAGCACTTCTAATCATGCCACAACTGTCACCATTCACACAGTATTCAATACACTTAGGGCTCATGTAGTGAGGTGGCAGCGTCCCTGCTTCAGGGCCAGGAAACCGGTGTTCAGATCCACTTTCTGCACAGTAACATTTCTGAACAGCGAATTTGAAAATATCCATATTCTACTTGTAGACACTAAAGCAATATTGTTCAATGCAATTTACTACCATCCTGAGGTAAAGATAAGAGATGTTACATGTTTAGAATAAAACTGATTTTAAAAACCTCGTTCTAATTTAAGAAATATACTATCCAGACTTCCCACATACCTCTTTAATCTTCTCTTGCTTCTGTCTCGTGTCTGGATCACCTGGGTCCCCATTATTGATTCCTACCAGTTTTGGGATAGGTACAACTGGCAGTTGTTTGCCTTCTCTTTTTTTCATATCTTGTATCACTCTGTTTTTTTCTGTCTGAATTTCAGCACGAATTTGATCTTTGGATTTTTTTAGTTTTTCCTTAGCCTCTTCCAGCGCCCTCTCATGATCTGCCCTAATCATTTTACGAAGCTGCTCCTCTTCATCTCTAGAGAATTTAGAGAAGATATTGGACAAATCTATCACTATGAAAACATAGGACAACAACAGTTTGCAACTAACTGCCACTTCAGAACTTAAATGTTAAACTTAAACTTAAACTCAAACTGCAATACTCAATAGGCTAACAGTTTAAACAGTAAAGATATTTGTTGCAAAACTTATGTTGAGATAATATGTTCACAAGAAACCAAAATTCAACTTTGTCTGAGACTGTATATTTTACCATAGAATCATTGAATTGTTATTGAGTGGTTGCAGGCCATTCAACACATCGAGTCCAAATTGACCTTCTGACGAATATCCCACCCAGACCCACGCTCCACCCCCCCCTCACCCACTTTCCCTATCCCTGTAACCCTACATTTTCCCATGGCTAATCCACCTAGCCTGCTCATCCCTGGCCATTATGAGCAACTTAGCATGGCTAATCTATCTAAACCTGCACATCTTTGGACTGTGGGAAGAAACCAGAGCACCCAAAGGAAACCCACATAGACACAGGGAGAATGCGCAAACTCCAAACATTTGTTGAGGCTGGAATCAAACCCAGGTCCCTGGCACTGTGAGGCAGCAAGGCTAACCACTGAGCAATCATATCACACATTAATAAACAAGAAATATACAAATATACAAATGAATTCAATGACAGTTTTAAAAAAAAGAAAAAAAACTGAACATGCTAGAAATATTCATCCTGTAAGGAATCGTCTGTAAAAGAAAACAGAGTTAACATTTCAAATTGTTACCAGCTTCAAAGATATTAACAACTTTATTTTTAAAATAAGATATAGGCGACATTTTTTAAAAATAAGAACTTTCAGGAACAGCTGAAAATTTTACACTTTAAGATAAAAGACTGAAATTTAAGCAAGCATACTTTAAATGACAAAATACAACATTGCCGTTTTCTTTCTGTCTCAATTAAAAACACTTCATACTGTCATTTAAATAGATATTCAATTCTCCCAGAAACAAATCTAAGAAAGTGATTCTTAGCTCCGAAAGATTTACATGTGTTCTTTTCCTCTGTCTGATAACAGTCTGTCACAGTCTTTTCAATCTGAACAAGAGATCCCAACAACATTTGAGTAGTGAGCCACAACTTCCATGTTGCCTATTGCTGCTCACTGTCTCATAATGCTGGCAGACTAACCACAGCTGAGTGTTTTGAGAAATATCTTAAAACATTCTCTCTCAAAGCGCATCACCAAGGCAACCTGAATCACATGGGCCTTGTATCCAGACTGAAATGCTGATTAGCCAACGTTGAGATCCCAACTTTTGTTTCTTTTCTTGGAAGCAATGGACAGTTTAAAGCACAAGCAATCACAATCAGACATTCTGAACACTGATGTGAGACTTTGGAATTTTGACAGTCTGCACACTAGCAGCACCCTAAACTTCTTAAGCTCTGAACAAAGGTCACTGGACCTGAAGTAATAACTCTGCTTTCTCTCCACAGATGTTGCCAGACTTGCTGAATTTCTCCAGCAATTTCTGTTTTTGTTTCAGGTTCTTCTAAGCTGCTGCCACGGAATCAAATCACCCTCAGGTTTACTGCAGGACATTTTACTTCCAGTTAAAGATGTAGGCTCAACTGTAACAAAGTCTTTTCATTAGAAAAGAAAGAAAAGCACAGATATAACAGATATTTTGCAAGGGAATGGGAAGCAGGGAAAGGAAGGTGAGGAGGGGCAAAAAAAATGACGAAGTTAACAGTAACCTGAAAGAGGAGATTAGATGAAAAGACAAGTAAAGGAACAAAAAGATAGATACAGAAAACTAGGAAAAACAGAATCATTACCAGCATAAGGCGCCTGAAAAAACTGGGTGCAGTGGTTTGCAGTTATGATCAGAATTTTAAGTTTGAGTTCAAAAGGTGCAAAGTGCCTAACTAAAAACAAGATGTTAATCCTCAAAATTCTATTGGTTGTTATTAGAATGACATACATGGCCAGTGACAGAAAAATCAGAGTGGGAATAGGGTAGAAATTAAATCAAGTGAATGGAAACTCGGGTCACACTTCGTGGCCCAAACAACGTGCTTCAATAGGCAACTAAATCTGCAATCGATGTCCAGAAAGTAGAGGGGACCACACGGTCAGCAGCAAATAAAATGTACTGAACAAAAGAAGCAGGGTTGCAATGGCTAGCTGATCCTTAATTTTACAACAGTGGCCCCTCATTCTGGGCCACCACATAAGATCAAACATACTTGTACATCTCAGTCAAATAACCCCATACCCTTCTACTTCAGTGGAAGAAAGCCCAGCCTGTTCAATCTTTCCCCATGAGACAATCCTTCTCATTCCAGGTATCAATCTAATAAATCTCCTCTGAAGCACCTCAAAAACATGTAAATTATTTTTTGGATAAGACGACCAAAATTACACACCGTATTTGAGATGTGTTCTCACTAATACCCTGTACGCCTGAAACATAACACCCTTACATTTGAACGACTGAATGATTTTATTGTCATGTATATTTTAACAGAGAAAATACAGTAAAATACAGCAAAAAGCATCCACCGTCACCATGATCTATAACCACTTTGAATAGTTTCAGGATAATAATAAGAACAAAAAGATATAACTTAAACAGAGTCCATAACCGTTTGGTTAGTGCTTCACCGCCAAACCAACCAATGAAGTCACCACTCCTCAAGCGCCATCTTTCATGCTTTGAATTCATCTCACAATAAGGGGTAGCACCTAATCAGCCTTCTGAGTTACATGCTGTACCTACATCCAAAATTTTTGTGACTCTCATACAAGGACACCTAAAGCTTTCTGAAATTCAGATTTTCACAGTCTCAGTTTAAGTGATACTTTGCCTTTTAATTTCTCTGCCTAAGCAAACAAATTCACATTTTTTGTTATCTACTTTGCATAGTGCACAAATTGCTATGAGGTTGCTGATAAGGCCAATCTTCGAGCATATGAAACTGTAGGAATTCCAACTCGTATACTGACCAACAAAGGTAAGAACAGACTCCAACAAAGAACCCTCTGGCTGATTTCACAACTAAGACATCGCGCAAAGGGAGGTCATTTGACTGTGCCATTTCAAATGGGAATTTGAGCACAGAATGGCATTCTTTAAGACAAGCATGGGAATTTGTACACGCAGCTACAAATTCAATACAGTAAATACATCATCTACCTAAGCAATTGCTGACAATCTGGTTTTTCTCATATAAATGTAGATTAAAGTCACCCAAAATTAATGCTGTCCCTTTATTTGTCTTCTTGTATGTTTTGTCCTCCGTTGTGGTTAGCGTTCTGGAGTTGAAGACCACTCTCATAGAGCATAGAACATTACAGCGCAGTACAGGCCCTTCGGCCCTTGACGTTGCGCCAACCTGTGAAACCAATCTGAAGCCCATCTAACCTAAACTATTCTATTATCATCCATATGTTTATCCAATGACCATTTAAATGCCCTTAAAGTTGGCGAGTCTACCACATTTGCAGGCAGGGCATTCCACGCCCTTACTACTCTGAGTAAAGAACCTACCTCTGACATCTGTCCTATATCTATCACCCCTCAATGTAAAGCTATATCCCCTCGTGCTAGCCATCACCATCCGAGAAAAAAGGCTCCCACTGTCCACCCTATCTAATCCTCTGATCATCCTATATGTCTCTAATAAGTCACCTCTTAACCTTCTTCTCTGTAACAAAAACAGCCTCAAGTCCCCCAGCCTTTCCCTCAGTAATTTCTTCTTTCTGCTGAAGTTAAAACTATCTCCACATGCATCAAAGCACTAGAAAAAGATGACGCAGAGGACTGGAGTATGACTGAAGCAAACAATGTTCGAACTATCTTGGACTCTCATGAATTCCCAAAGCAATACCTTTTAAGATGGAGGTTTTGAGGGGAAACAAAGAAGTTGTTTTAATCCAAGAACAAAATCAGCAGTCAGAAATGAGTAGTAGTAGATAGGAACTTGTTGGACCTCTGTTCAAAGAAAATAATCCAACAGACTTCAGGTTGTCCTGGTAGTAGATGTTCAGTAACTTATCATCCACGGGGGATAGTTCTGGCTGTGAGACTGGAAATTAAAGTGACAGAGGGTGTCAGAAACTAAAATATAGCTGGAGAAAGAAATGGACAGAAACACAAATACCCAAGATCGAAGGAAATCAATTCTGAATGCCTCTTCCCTCTGCATCTACCAACTGACAAAGGTGCTGTCAACATCATCGGCACTTAAGTACCAACCTTGCATGCCAGCATTTTCGACAAATGTCAATTCTACAATCCTCTTGTTATCCAAACGGTGAAAAGTCATTAATCTAAAGGCGAATTCAACGCATATGTTATGTCATCAATTTGGTTGGGTTATCATGGAAAGATACAATCGGTCTAGCATTTTCCATATGCACAAACCGCAGCACAGATTGAGATCATGTTATGTTTCGTGGCTAGAAGACAGCTCGCTATTCATCAACATCTCTAGTACAAATACTAACATATTACACTGGGGATCAAGAAATTGCTACACACCAAAAGGCTGAGCAAGATATGTTAATATTGACCAAGCCTGAAAATTTCTAAACTTAATCATTTATCAAACAGCAACACATTTGACAAAGGCAGAACATGCAGAGATTGGTTTGAGATTTTCTCAGCTGTGATAACATCAAAGTTTAAAAAAAAAGTCCACTTGGTACACACACAAACCCAGAACATTGCACAAATTAAAAGTAGCCAAAACAGCCAGGCCTCAAACATGCATGACACAAATCCTGTTTGTCCAAAATCATGGGCTCTTATTTTATTAAATAGCCTAATGAGTGTTGCCATAATCAAAAACCTTCTGAAAATCCAGACATATTAAAGCCACTGCTTGCCCTTTATCTATCCTGCTTGTTACCTTCTCAAGGAATTTTAGTAAATTTGTCAAGCATGGTTTCCCTTTTATGAAGCCATGCTGACTTTTCTTGATCATATGATGTAGTTCTAACTGCTCTGCTATTA